AGTTTATAAACGATTCATAACAAATTTTTATCATTTGGGGCACGAAGACTGCCGCATTAGATTGAAGAACACGCTTTAGGGCAAGTTGTCATCCGTCATCTGCTCTACAAATGAATTGCTGTGCGCCGCATCTCGGAGGCAATGCTTTAGATCTTATGGTTTAAAGTAGGGACAAAGATTACGCCTCCCGTAATATTATCGGCAAAAACATTGTGAAATTCATTTTAACGCACTATACTTCAGTTTTGCATTTGCACTATGGATACTTGCGCACAAGTATCCACAGTGCTTTGAACCATATGATCTAAAGCATTCCCTCCGAGATGCGGCGCACAGCAATTCATCTGTAGAGCAGACGACGGATGACAACTTGCCCTAAAGCGTGCTCTTCAATCTAATGCGGCAGTCTTCGTGCCCCAAATGATAAAAATTTGTTATGAATCGTTTATAAACTCATTCCACATTCAATTCTCTTACCCAACGTGTTGCAAACACATGGCCGTCACAGCAGCTCCATCTTTGTGTCATTAAATGGAGAGGCACCACATATTAGAAGTCTCAGGGCTCTACGTATAAGAGTGAATTCAGATACTGTAGAATACCCTGTTCAAAATAGTTACTCCTATCTGCTAAAACAGCCTTTCTTCATTAAATGCGGTCACGTTTACTCGCGTTTGAAGCTTATTGCCGCTTTTCCGTTCCGATTTCTAGATTTTTCAACTTATCAGCCCATTCTCGAAAAGCTCTGATTTGTACCACGGATATTGTCGCTAAAAACAAAATAATGCAACATGTTTTTCTATATTTCTGTATGGTCCCGCCGCGGTGGTCTAGTAGCTAAGGTACTCGGCTGCTGACCCGCAGGGCACGGGTTCGAATCCCGGCTGCGGCGGCTGCATTTCCGATGGAGGCGGAAATGTTGTAGGCCCGTGTGCTCAGATTTGGGCGCATGTTAAAGAACCCCAGGTGGTCTAAATTTCCGGAGCCCTCCACTACGGCGTCTCTCATAATCATATAGTAGTTTTGGGACGTTAAACCCCACATATCAATCAATCAATATTTCTCTATGATGACCCTCGGTTGTGTATTTACGAGAGTTTAAGAAAAATCGAAGATGGTTTTTTTTATTATTATTCAAATTTCGGTGGAGTACACTTTTGCCAATATAAACAATTTGAGGCAATATATAAAAATACACACTTGCCCTACGGCAACAATAATTTATGTACCTATTGAACACACTATATCCTTAAAACGTGTCAAGTTTGAAAACGTTGCTTGCATTACTTTCAGAGAAAATAAAATGGGGAATACGTAACTTATTTTAAACTGTCGCAAAATTGGACATTTCTAAAAGCTATTTTCTTAAGGTCTACAAACATAAAACCGTATGAATTCCTTCTTCATTAGACATGCATTTCAGGTAGAAAATATCTTCCTTGAAACAAAAATATTTGTCTTTTTATAGTGTCTGCAATTTTTGAAAATGACAGGTGACGAAATTTGTGCCTCCGTGTTGGTGAAGTTTGATGTTTTTTTTTTCTCGTAAGTTATGCCGTTAATCATAAAACGAAGTTGACTTTCGGGCTACCTGGTGAAAGGTGCATGAAATATAAAATACTCAATGAAGTCTAAAATATCAACTTTTGGACCCGTGTCGATCTCTCTCTCTCTCTCTCTCTCTATGTATATATATATATATATATATATATATATATATATATATATATATATATATATATATATATATATAAGGGAAAGAAGTGTATACCTAAGGGCTCGTTTTTCCGTGTTTTAACACAATATTAATGAGATATAACAGACAGTAATGCCAAGGAATGTACAGGGGAAGTTATTAGGACCAATGGAATGTAAAAATAAGAAGAAAGAAGAAAGAAAAGTGGATGAAAAAATTACCAACTGTGAGCAGGAATTCGAAGGTCGTAGGTTCGATTCCTGCTCACAGTTCGTAATTTTTTCATCCACTTTTCTTTCTTCTTTCTTCTTATTTTTACATTCCATTGGTTCTAATAACTTCCACTGTACATTCCTTGGCATTACTGTCTGTTATATCTCATATATATATATATATATATATATATATATATATATATATATATATATATATATATATATATATATATATATATATATATATATATATATATATATATAGTTATAAACTTCGAGAATAGTGCAGTATAGGAAACAAAACAATAAAATATTTATTTAATCCTAACAGTTTCGGCTGGTGGACCAGCCTTCTTCGGAGGATGTAAGTGAAATGATACAAGTTCCCGTAGCAGAGGGTCACCCTCACGGTTTAAAGACCCTCCAAAAAAAAAAAAGGAGAGAGAGAAAAAGACAAGTGGGCGAACGAGGTAGCAACAGACAACAAGAAGCAGAAGAAGGAGAGGAACTAGAAAGGAGCGACGGAGAGCCGCTCGTTTCCGGCGGCTCTCCGTCGCTCCTTTCTAGTTCCTCTCCTTCTTCTGCTTCTTGTTGTCTGTTGCTACCTCGTTCGCCCACTTGTCTTTCTCTCTCTCTCCTTTTTTTGGAGGGTCTTTAAACTGTGAGGGTGACCCTCTGCTACGGGAACTTGTATCATTTCACTTACATCCTCCGAAGAAGGCTGGTCCACCAGCCGAAACTGTTAGGATTAAATAAATATTTCATTGTTTTGTTTCCTATACTGCACTATTCTCGAAGTTTATAACTTTTATTACTGTAGCCGGAAGAAACTCTGATCATCTATTTCATCTCTCTCTCTCTCTCTCTCTCTCTCTCTCTATATATATATATATATATATATATATATATATATATATATATTATATATATATATATATATATATATATATATTGATGTTGATGGGACACACGGAAACAAGTTGTTGCGAAAGCCCGCGGCGGGGAGGTGTGCCGTTGTTCCCGTAAAGTTGGCGTCGCCTCGGTGAACTTCTCATATTGCACCACGCGACAGCTTTCGCCGAATGCCGGCACGAGTGGCACAAAGAAATGTTATGCGCAACTTGGTTACCAGTGGTAGCTTTTACAGGGGCACTTTAACGTCACGCTAACACTTTTAGTTCATGTATAATGTAGACATGCTTCCCGCAGAGCCCACACCGCACGTAACCGCAGGGCAAAAATAGGTATGGAATGGGTCGACACGATGCGTCTGATGTTGCCAGCGTGAAATTGGGTGGCGCGATCTGGTGGGTATAATGCAGAAAGGGTTTCGCCAAATCACGTTACATCGCGGATTTAGCGGCGTCACAGCAAACTAGCGGCTTGCTCATCTAAATTAACAGGGAGAAAACATCGCCAATGCTTTACTCACCTCAGATCACGTGACGCGGACGTTGATCTTGAGATTAATTCCTTGCTAGCCCGACGACCAAAGTAATAACCACGCACACCACAGAGCGAAAGTAACCGTTTTCTATTAGCAATGGACAGTGGTCACAAATGGTCGATGGAACAGCAGAAGGCGACAGACCGCGGCCGCAATACTTGCCCAATAAGGCCGTTTCACATGAAACAAAAAGTACGATTTTCAGAGCGCGAATTCGCTCACAGCGAAAAAAAGGCCAGTTCGTTCACGCCACAGCGGTGCGCGGGGAGCTTGTTGGAAATTTTCACTCTGGTCGCAATGGCGGGAGCGATGTTTGATTGGGACCCGTCGAAGTAGGGCCGGGTCACATATGCCGTTGAAATAGCGTCGACGTGTTTGTTTTAGTAATGGCCGATGCTGTGAATTTTAAAATAATTTAAATTAAGAAGTGTTCTTAAATTTCGGAACACGCGGGCCCTTCGTTACCCTTCATAGAAATTTAATTATATAATAATGCACAAATCATTACACTACTTTCGAAATATTCTGCGGTGTCTGCCAGAAAGAAGGGTAGCAAGAGCTCGCCACTCCAGTCGCAGAGCGAAAATCACGGACCATTCACGGTCCATGTGAAATGAAACCGCGATTAGCAGCGGTTGCGAACAGAGCGAACGAAGCGAACAGAACGATTTTTGTTTTCGCTGCAATCGTGGCATATGAAACAGCCTTCACTTTCATGTCATGGCTCATTTGAGGCCCAAAACCAGGACTTCTTTAGTAGGGTAAGGGGGGTCTGGAGGGCTTCGCCGAAGTTTTGGCCAAAATCATTAGTTTTATACTTTCGGTAAAACACCTTCCTCGTTAAAACGTAAGGATATTGCAGAGGGGCTCTAGTGCAACCCCCCCCCCTTTTTTTTTTGAATACCCGCCTGGCCGATTTGACAAGATATTGCTGGAGCGCCAGCCGGTTGGGTCATGTGCACTTCAGTTCAACACTAGCTTCTTTGTCATAGGCGTCCGCGAAGTCATGCTGGGGCTTAGAAAGCATTTGTTGCTGGTGCCAGTGACGTAAACAGACGGTGACACACCGTGCCCGTGCCCCCCACCAGGATTATCTTCCCGCCATGGCATACAGACCCAAAATAATGATCATTTCAAAAAGGTGCCTGCCCCCCCCCCCCTTTCCCTACAAAAAAAGTTTCTGCCTACGGCCCTGGCTCGTACCCTCGCAAAGATACGTATGAAAACGAATACGTGGGCTTTTTATTTTTATTACAATAAGAAAATCTATGTCTTCCTGTAGCTAATGAGTAACGAGAGTAAGACGATTTGCGCTATATCCGTGATGTCTAAGGCGCACTTTCTTGTAGATGATGCCTGGCCGGAGGTCAGACAAACTCTCAGCGCTGCATTGGGCCTTGGAAGCAGTATCACTTTTCACCGTTCTGAGGGGCATGTTTTTGATAGCAATGAGATTTGTCAGACAGAATGTAATCGCAGGGGGAGCACATTTCTTGGACACGCACTCGCTGCGCCGGTATATAGGGACGATTATTGCGTGCATAGTGCATCTAAAGGATAAGGGAATGCTTTTACTGTTCCCTCAAAACAAATTTGGATGCTCTTGCTTCATGTATCCATTGGATGTGCATAAGCGCCCCGGTTAACCTTCGGGCCACAGCAATTTCTTGGGAAAGAGCTTCTGCTCCAGTCTGAAGTTATCAAGCACCTCTCGCAAGCGAACGCGAAGCGGCGCCTCGTCATCCTCCCTGCTCAGATTGAGCCCAAACTCATCTCGCAGAATGTCGATGATTTCGTTCTCGTCATTCATGAGCCGTTTCTCGACAACGCCGCCTGTCGGTGACCAGCGCACGAACCGGTCGTTCATGAGCCGCAGCCAACATCCGTCTACGTGGGGTGATCGGCGTCCCACCAACAGGAGCTGCTGTGTGGCACAGTATGGGTTACTGGTCGAATACCAGTGGAGTGTGCAGAAGTCGAGCCAGTCGAGATCGTACGGCTCGACGATGTAGAAAGCCTTCCAGCCACCGTCACTCGTGGGCACCGCAACCTCGAATCTGTCCAAGTCGTCCAGTGTGCGAACGCGGAAGGGCGTCGCATCCCCGGCCACGGGCAGCGCCCGGTGCAGTCCGCACTGTGCCATGCCGACGTCCACAATGTAGCGATCGCCATCACCCAGCTCGACCAGCAGCACCATATGGGACAGCCGTGTGCGTTTGGCCGAGTCATCTAGAGTCGTGAGACGAAGGCGGGCCGCTCTCAAAAGCAGGCTGTAGCCGAGCGCCAGCAGAAGGCGCCCGAAAAAGGAGTTGAGCTCGAAGCAGCAGCCTCCGCGTCCACGTCGTGTCACCTTTTCGAAGATGGCCTCGGCGTCCAGACTGATGCATCGCTTCAGCAGCATGTCCACGTTCTCGAAGGTGACCCGCTCCAGCTGCCCTTTGATCAGCCTGTCGAGGTAGTCCAAGGTAGGAGTCATCGGCTTGCCAACTTTCAAGAACTCCAAGTAGCTTTCGGTGCACTGATCGGACAGCGGTTCCATCGCTAACATCTGTCTTTCGGAATGCGTGTTTGCCAGGAAGCTGATAAATTTTAAAACACTCAACAAGACATGAATCACGGCGAATGTCTTAAGGATGATGATGAGGATGAAGATGATGATTGCTTATACGTATAGCTCACACCCAGTTCTCTTAATTTATGGTCTTCGCCTTCTTTTCGGGTGCAACAGCTCACGTGCACAGTGTTGTCTAAACGCCTGAGTAGAGTAACAATATCTTCTCTTGAGATGCTGCCTAGTCGGTCACTTCCCCGAAGGTGTCTTCTTGTCAACCTTCCAGAAGCTTTTTTTAAAGCACATTCGTAGCCTGTAAAGAAATAAACAAAAAATACCGGACATTTTAAATTTTCGAAGCACTGCAAAAATGTATCAACAACATTGGAAGTGCAATACTTTGTGTTAGTACAGTGCTTTTGATGTTTTTACAGTGTGATTCCAAATATGTTTTTGAAATAATCAGAAATAAGGGAAAAAGTATTTTCACGCTGCCTTTGTGATCGCGTTTTCTGTGGTGGCAAGCATGCTGAGTTTATAGAACACCGCGTTACGACAGAAACTAAAGAAGTCAAGTAGAGTGAAATTATACATTTGCATTCCAGAATTGCCAGATGCTACCGAGCTAACAAGCAAATAATCTTCGCAAAAAAAGCTACTCCCCCTCTGACCCCCCAAAAAAGCGGCACGACTCTCACGAAAAAGTTCAAGACACGTGGGAATTTAAAACTTTTTTCTGTTCTTGGTAATAGTTTTGGTGTTATTTTCTAAGAAAGTTTCAATCACATACAAAGGGTAGTTGAAAAAAAATCACCTCAATGATTTTATACAACAAAAATGCGTGTAACTATGAAGAAAAGCACTTATGTACTCTTTGGCATTGTCTCGTATAGTCTCCATTCGCTTGAATGCATGCTTGAGAGTGCATAAATAATGGTATGTGTTCATTTACCCAACGCACAGTCAACCAAAAACACATTTTCTTGCTCTTAAGCTGTACTGTTTATCCTATACATTAAGCGGATGCGCCAACCTGGCTATTCCCACGACAAAAATTGGGAGGGCGGGCCTCCTGGCCCTTTCTTAGGAGTGACAGGACTTGATAGTCGTAAGCTGCACGTTGACCTGAGGAGCCTTTCGAAGCGATCACGTGCATCACTGGGCCGCGGTGAACCGCAGTTCCAGAGAAGGTGTTCTAATGTGCATGTATTTTTGTTGCAAGCTTTGCATGCAACATCTATTCATTTCACTCCGTACCACTGCCTGATTTGAATCGGTAAATAGTTCAATTTTTTTGTAGTTATAAGTGTTCAGGCGTGCGTAGGGGTGCAGACAAATTCTTGTTCTCAGATAGAAGCGTTTAGTGATTTCATTGTACGCGGCCAGTTTAGCCTTGTGTATACTGGTATCAAAGATCACGCGAGCACCTGGCCAAGAGCCTTTTCGCGAAATTCCCGCTGCGTCAGCGGCAGCATCGCTTCATGCTTCCAAGACGCATCCGTACCTTTATCGATGGCCTGGCTATTTTCTCACTGCACATATATATTTTAAACATTCCACTTTTGAACGCGACGTGCTCTTCAGGAGCCGTAGCTACGCACTTCTATCTCAAGAACAGTATACGTAGAAACGCATGTCCACCCACTGATTTCACCATTTACAATTCAAACTGATATCACAAATGAACTTAAGGAGGAGCCGAACCCCATCTTCCACGAATATTCGCTGCCTTCGGCGCAATAAACTGTCATTTGAACTTGTGCTTGAAGAGATCCCGCGACAGTTGGTTTTTTTTTTTTTGGACATGGCCAGAAAACGGCGCTGATTGGTAACCGAGGCTGGTTTGAACATTTAACGAAATGCTATAGACCCACACGTGGTGGTAAATTCTCAATTACGTTTCGAATAAGACCTATGAATCACTCGCTATTTTCTCGACAAATCATATGATCGACGGGCCTGACTACGCCATGGGAGTGGAGGATACAGAATGAAATTAAATAGAATACGGACATTGGCTGATTCAATGATACCGCTACAACATGTTAAAGGACGTGAAACGCACCAATGGAGGTTCTCGCGCCTTTCGTGCCTGCGTGTGCGTCACGACGTACGATGAACAACATCTTGTAACCACGAATCCATGAACCCCAACCGTTTTTGCGCATGTGCGTTTACCATCACTGATCACTGAATTGTAGAAGATGCAAAACAGCAAAGCTACGAGCCCTATATAGCGGCAATGAAATGCACATTTAATACAGTCTGTAACGTTTATGTATTTCTATGCTTTTGCTCAGGCTAAGAGCTCTGTGCTTAGGAGCTCATACCTTCTGCATCAACCCAGCGGCGTCCAAAGGGCCTGCGTGGGCTTGGTCTCAGCATCTCATCGTGGGAGAGGCCGACTTCACTACTGCTTTGAGCGGTAGCGTTTCCCAACACAATTAGGTTCTATATCTGTCTGTTGTTCAGTGACTATCAAAACAATCTGATAAATGCTGCTTCTCAAAGATTGACGCTGTCGCCAACTTTGTTGGCTTTTACACACGAATATAAGTAGTGGTTATAAAGCAATAAATTTCAAATTTAACCTTTTAGTGCCCGAATTTCGGAACTGCCGAGCAAAATAAAAATAGTTTTCATTTTACAGTTTGAAACACCGACCTTCAAATGATTCCGCAGTTAAGTTTTCCAAAATGTAACGTTATTGCATACTTTTATGTATGTCGCAAGTTCTTCATATGCTACACAAGCGAGAACCTTCCAGCAAAAAACGTACTTCAAGGCATCGCAACACGTCTTGTGCCACATATTGGTTGCGTACCCACCAAATAAACAAAGTTATTCAAAATAGAACTTGCGTCACCAAGGAGACAAAGAATGAACTAGTAAGAGGTGTTGCCTGTGCTTCGCGCTTTCCCTATACCAGCTACAAAACAATTGGTTTCCCATGACTGTATGACAGAACGCAATAAAAGCGGCACTAATTTCGTGACATGCTTGCTCTTAGATCAGATGAGGCTGCTAGATCTGCACACGATGGTACCCAATACACAGCCATCCCGTTCTCAAGAACCGACGCAGCTACAAGACTTCGTTCGCTTGCACGTGACCTCACACTGGTACAGTGGAACTCAACAGACTTCACAAACGCGCGCCTGCATAACTTGGATCCCGATCTGCAGCTTCGCCTTCCCCCAAAGATATCTCGAGCTGAGGGGACTCTTCTATGCAACCTGTGGCTTGGAGTGGCCTTCACGAACGCATACTCGTATCTCATTGGGATGGCCAGCTCTCCTACATGCACTTACTGCAGCTGCGAAGAAACCATCGCGCACCTTCTGTGTGAGTGCACCCATTTCAATGTGCAAAGACAAGAACTCACTGCAGCTCTGGATAGACTAGACGATCGGCCTTTGTCGTAACAAAGAATTCTGGGTCATTGGCCTAGCCCATTCTCAGCCCAGAAGGCTTTGAAAGCTTTGCTGCGCTTTTTGCGGACAACTGGCCTCAGAGACAGACTTTAGTGTCTTATACTCTTTGATGTTGCCTTTCCTCTGTCGCAATTTTTTTTGTAATTTCTCCCTCTTTTCGCAACATTTCTTTTTAACATCTTTCATTCCCCTCACCCCTTTCCCCAGCACAGGGTAGCCAGCCGGTCTAAGAACTGGCTAACCTCCCTGTCTTTCCGCATAAACTTTCTTCCTCCTCCTCCTCGGTGTGTCGCGAATTCATCACACAGGGCAGTGAAGAGTTAAGGTAGCTTACATGTATGCGCCTATGCTCGTGAGAGAGAGAGAGAGAGAGAGAGAGAACATAAGGAGAAAGGCAGGGAAGTTAAGCAGGACTGAGCCCCGGTAGGCTACCATGCACTGGGGAAGGGGAGAGGGAGAAGCAAAGTTATAAAGAAGGAGAAAATGGTTACTAACTGGGCCGACACGTAACAGTTTCACATCACAAACAATGAAACCAGTCGGTGTCTTTGAGAAAACGCAACAGCGCTTTCGTTGCCTTTCGGAATTGGGATGGGCAGTGCCATGGGCCCAATACTTTCTCGACAAAAAAATCACTTCTGCCCAGTTGACTTAAGACACAGCGCAGGTGAAGCCTTTTGGTTGTGTATGCCGGGCAGTAACAAAGAGGTGTTCAGTAGTCTCATCGACGGCGCAGTTGTTGCACTCGGCACTGTCGGCCATCCCAATCTTAATTGAGTAGGCCTTCGTAAAGGCTACGCCCAAACGCAAACGGCACAACACTGTACCTTCCTCCCTAGAACGACCAGAGGGTAGCCGGAGTCATAGAGATGGGTCGAGAGAATACAGTCGATGATGTGCAAACAGTGATGACTGCCACTTCTGGAGTGTCATGTTCTGCGCCAGCTTACCTAAATATCTGGCCGAGTCAATCCTAGATTAAGGTACGGAAATAAGGTTTGTTTATACATGTGCATTTCTGGCTGCTTCTTCAACGAGGTCATTGCCAGAGATACCGCAATGACTTGGTATCCACTGAAACATAACGTGTATCCTCGTTCAGTCGCATAGTGCAGCATTTCACTGATCTCCCATACCAGTTGTTTGTACAACCCGCGACGAAATGCCCACGAAAGACATTGTAGAGCCGCTTTGTCGTCACAGAATACTGCCCAATGATTATCCGGTTGTTGTTTGATATAATCGATGCCACCTTGCAGGCAATGATTCCCGAACCAGTTTATGTGCTAACATGACAAAGTTTGTACGTGATGTTGATGTGTCGCGATGTAATGACGGTGGCGTTGTGGAACTAGTCTGTGTGGTGGATCCATCCATGTTTACGTGGATTCTGTCATCGTAGAAGGTGTGTAAGCAGTCCAGAGTTGCTTGCTTCAAGGCCAAAGCAGAAAGGACTTTTCTATATTTTATTCCTGGGACGGAAAGGCGCACGTCGGGTTGTCGTAAGCTCCACAAGGCAGACGGTGAACGCGCCAAGGGTATAAAACTGGATGG